TCAACCTCTGGAAGGGCCATTGCTGCCAACACCTCCGCAATATCTGCCTGTGCGACCTCACCCTCGATCGACGGGATTGTATGCGGAATCCTTTTCTGACACTGCGGCATTTTCTGCATGGTGTCCATCGGCTTCTTCGATGAAAACACTTGAAGCTCGATATCTGTACGAGATAGAGCCTTATTTAAATCCAATGTTCTGTGCTTCACCTGCAGCACAAATTCAATTTCGATGATGTATCAGCTCACGGTACACACGCGTATACCCCTCCTCCCTCTAGGCTGGGTCCTGCGGTGTAGCTGATACAAGCCACAAAGTATACCCCTTGACCAAGAGGGACCTGTCAGTATACGGTACACGCGCCGCTGCTCCCTTGTAGAGGTAGACCACGGCGGTGTAACTGACACCCTCCTCCGGTCCTCTGAGAAGGCTCGATGTGCGGTGTGCCACACAACGGGCTCCTCTTTGAATCGGGGATATACACTGCCTCTGATATAGGCAGGATACTCGCCTTTTCCGCTTACGCGGTCTTATCGGCGGGGTTGGGTTGGTTCGGTTCGGCCCCCATGTCACGCACTAACCGGGTTCGTTAGTGCGAGGGCGGATGTCCAGGTGGCGATAGAGAGAGTAATAGAAGAATTTATTAGAAGACTAATTAGCAGACAATAACAATAACTAAAACAACGGCCGGGCGGCCTTATTTATAGCCGCCACGGTACAAAGTACATGGTCAAGATCAAATTCAATAATCATCGCCTATAGGTGCCACGGCGTCCATCCTTGACAAGACAACATTATTGAAGAAAGTCTCAACTCTTCTACAGAGGACGTTCAAATTGATGATTGACTTGCACTTTAATTTCTCCTCCAAATACAACAGTAAAGTCGAGTAGATCAGAGTGGGGGTTTTGGGAGGCAGGGGAAGTCAGAATCTAAGTCAAATACCTGAGGGAAAGGAGGGAGTCAGAATTTTTTGTTCCAGGCCGTTAGCGTTAAGGAAGGTGGATAGCGATAGTCACCTGACAACGGGGCGGTAAGAAATCGCTACGATAGCCTTCGGACGTCTGGCCTGTTCAAACGGTATGAGAAATACAGTATTCCATCAGTGGCTGACGAGCTTGAAAATTCCCGCGACACGCTCGCGAACGCGTCGAGTGGCTAAGGCGAGGCGGCTAGTGAAAACCCGTGCCGCGGACCATGACATTCAGATTGAAAGCCCCCGTACGAGTCTAGTCAAGGTCGATCGTAAAACCAAGTAAAGCAAGATGAAAAGACTTACCTTGCTCAGAAAGTGCAAAGCTGCAACTGAAATGAGAAAATAGCAGCTCGTAGAAAGAAAAATAAAAAATAATAGCCCTCTAGTGCTAATGGTAAGCCCTGATTGTTTATAATCAGCAACTGTATCCAGTTACAATTTACGCGGCGCAAAACTTGCGTTCGATCATTTGTTCTGTCCACCATGACTGAATTCACCTGCTGCAGCTCAAATCAAGCTGAACTTGTTTTTCAACTGTAAACTCTTTCATCGAAAAGCTTTCCTCAAAATCTGCATTTGAATGATGTAATATGCAAAGCAATGGATGTTCCAAAATCGCTACTAAATCGCTGAACTATGATAGAGCTTGCTTCTAACGGTGTTATAAAAACAATGAAATCTCTGCGAAGCAACATCAGTGTTAGTAGGCTGTATTTTAAGTATCCGGAAGCGTTGTGGTCACTTCGTTTTACCTATCGTAGAATGTTTAGGGTGCGTGGCGTTAGGTACCCAGCCGAGGTGCGGGCGTTAGGTACCCAGCCGGTAGTGGTACACACTAAGCCACGCCCCTTGGTTGCTTTAACAGCGGGTACCTAACGATACACCGAATCTCAGCTGCTAGAACAGCTCACCTAGCTTGCTAAAAGTTGGCGCTTGCTGTCTGCCAATTTTAGAGTGAGTATAAGAGCAAAAAATCAAGACATCCTTCAGATAAGCAAATTTTTGAGTAATAGTGCTTGTGACTAAATCTACTAGACCAGACTAGCCCAGAATCACCGATTTTAGAACATTTCATTGACATACAATCAATAGCGAGCAACAAGCAAATAAATTTGATTTTGAACGTAGATTTCATCAATTATCTCTTAGTACCAAAAAACGCAAAGTTTTTCGTTATGCACATATGTATATATTTGATACAAATCAAGTGTGAAAAAGTGACTCATTCTGTTCCCTCTAGAGCTTTTAGTGTTTCATACTGCGATTGTTTTATATTCATTCTACTATGAAGTTTTTTTTATAACTCTCCGAAAAACATAAGATTCTGACAGTGATTACTCTTAGTAGTTTTTTGCTTTTCCCTGTTTCATTCTAACGGTACACAATCTTTCGAAATTTGGAATATAGGTCTTTGCTGCCAAAAACAGCTAATGCCCTAACAGCATAATGGGTCACATACTTCTCCATAAAGTTTTGTTTGCCTAATGACAATTTCTTTTTCGAAAAATTTTCAGTCCATTTCCACGTTTCACACAAGAATATTTGAAGCATTCTTAAGGCATAAGAATATTCCGTGCAAATTATTAGCAAGAAGCAACTCCGATAATGCGCTTTGCTTCATTAAGATTTTGGTTCACCGGAATTTTACAAAATTTACATTTTTGTTCCGCTGCCATCATTTCGATCACTATCAAAATTTCTTTTTGCAAAACTATGAAGTGCACATAAAAAATCTAGCCTTTTTTGAAATTTTTCAACATGCTAGTTTGATTGCAATTTCGTTCAAAATCTGTTTTCAAAATTGATTGAAAAAGAAGCAGTAGAAAAAGCGACTCGAACTGTCTTTCTATAGGTCGCAAGCGATTTTTTGAGCTAAAGTAAGCTGTTCTAGCAGCTGGGATTCGGTGTATCGTTAGGTACCCGCTGTTAAAGCAACCAAGGGGCGTGGCTTAGTGTATACCACTACCGGCTGGGTACCTAACGCTCGCACCTCGGCTGGGTACCTAACGCCCGCCCCCCAGTGTTTACATGCATTGTGAATGCCTTTTCTGTCTCAAAAAAAAATGACTATGTTCTGGCAATTTTATCATGACATGACCTTTACATAGCTTTTGAATGGTAAGAAATCTATTTCCAATTACTACTATTTCATTCTGTCTCTATATAACTCTAGTTGCAAAAACAGCTTTCGAGTAGTAGAGTGTGCGACATGTGTAGAGATTTTTCATAGCTCAGAAATGGCACCAAAGTTCGTTCCGAAAAGTCATCTTACATATTTAAAAACACCAACGTGTTTGGTCTCTTTCAGTGTTTGGTCCGTTTAGTCAGTACTAATAATACAATAAAAAATTGGCAAATCTTATATGTAAAGCTGAATGTCTGTTTGTCTCTTTGTACGTGTGCGTACGTATGTGCGGAGTAGAATTTTCTATTTCTGAACAGGTTTGGACCAAACCTTGCACACAACACATCGGTTTGGGGCAGGTGTCGCAGGCTTTTTGTTATCGATCCACATCGATTTTATCGATTTTTATTGATTTTTTGAAAAGTTTGACTTACGGGGCTGGGAGTTGCCACAGACAATATTTATGTGGGCATGCTAATTACGAATACAAGATTAGTTTTCGGAATTATCCAGTGCTCTTATTGATTATATTGATTTTTTTGCAAAGTTTCAGCTATGGGACTGGAAGTTGGGGTAACAGAGGGATAAGTGAGCATGCTGATTACGAAAACAAAACGAGGCTAGGAGATTAATATGTAGAAGTGGGCACAAGGAAAGCTTATACAGGGATTGGGATGGTGACCTTCATCATCGTGTTTTGACGGGACCACGCGGAGGCTGGTATGCAGTTAGTTAGTATCAAGATGAGACGTGAACAATGTGAGTAGTTTAACTGTGCTACATAATTGAGTGGTTATGTTTTCTGACAAAATTACCAATAACAATAAAAAAAACAAATGTGAAAGTGAATTTCTGCCTAATCGGATTTTCATTTGAAATGTTTTTTGTTTTAAATCGGTCAAGCGAACTAACAAGGGAACGATACTCAATGTCCGTGGCCTTTTGGGACGAGATGTATACCTTACACTCGCCTTCGAACGCTGATTCCGAATCTGACTTCCGTTTCTGCTAATCATTTCTCTGAAGGAAGTTATGAAGGAATTTCGAGCCAACTTTATCCGTCCAAGGGTATGGTCACCAGAGCGGCCTCTACCGGCGCCATGTTATTGTCTAGTGGTTAGTGTGATAGCCTCATAACTTGATACAGGTGTAGGTTCAAATCCTTTTGTGTTTTTACTTTGCACTACCTCAATTAAAGTTGTTCGAGATTCACTCTAATTATAATCATTGGATACCTTTTAACGCAAATATTAAATTTTTTCCAAATTTCCACATTTTTTGAAGAGTAAGGGCGTCCAGTTAGCTCGAAGATGCGAAAGAAGGTTTATTGAGGCAATGCAAAACTGAAAAGCACAAAAGGATTCGAACCTACATCTGCATCAACTCATGAGCCTATCGCGCTAACCACTAGACCACACCGCACCATCATTGTCGCCCCTTCGAACGTATTTCAGTGGACAGCCATAGCCCGCACAATTCTTTACAACATCTTTGAAGCGATTAGCAGAAACGGAAGTCAGATTCGGAATCAGTGTTCCAAGACGAGTGTAATGGTATACAACTCATCTCAAAAAGCCACGGACACCGAGTATCGTTTCCTTGTAAGCAAGTTGAATGAGCCTCAATAGTGGAGCTTTGGAAGCATCACCCCAAAAAGGTGCAATACTTACAAAACTTCCGACGTGCTCAATGAATAGTATAATATTCCACTACGAACAAACATAAATTCTCCTTGATGAAAAAAAAAACGACTGGAGTGTCCATGAAAAGAATCTTGCTTTGAATGATTTTGCAGCTCAAATTCTACTGTGTTATCATTGTGGAAGCACAGTTTGAACCATCATGTATCACATTATTGAAAATTATCATTATTATCGTTAGAATATCAAAACGTTTATAGGGGATTGACAACTGGAGGGGCCACAATATGCTAGTCGTGTTCATCGTCGCATCAATGATCCTCAAGTCTACAGCAAGGAACTTCGTTTTCAATGGCAGCACACGAATTAGCCGATTGGAAAACTGGCTCAATAAAGATTATCCGTGTCAAGGTGAGGTCTCTCTAACAAAAAAAATTGTCAGTTTTATCGCATAGGACTCAAATGCAGACAGAATGTGTGCTTCAACTTTGGTAGAATGATTTTGTGTGAATCATCCTACATCAGCTATTGAATTAGATGTCTTATGTTTCAGGAGATAAAATAATATTCGAGGAAAACAAGAAGACAGTAGCTTTTGTCGATCAAAGCATTCAGGTATGCACTCAGCTATTTTAGAGATTGCCTATAAAGCATTTTTTATGTTGAAGGTGTCATCCATACTCCTTCCTGAGGTTGGTTCCATCGTCTTCTCAGATAATGCAGTTCTTGGTGAAAAAAGTCGATGGCAATGCACACATCGGAAAAGCCCCGAAAGTGAGTGACACTCGAGGGACATATCAGAAAGTCAGAAAAATCCTGAAAATCTTTATGAATAAGAAGAATTCGTTACAGATGTGTTCTTCCAAACCGATTCGGAATTTGCTGGCTTCAGGTACTCATTGAATAGAATCTATGCGATTTAAGTGCTCATTCTCAGATTTCATTTTGAGTTTGTAATGTGATTGATTTTGGCAGCTATCATCATTTGTTTTTCTCACATTTCACTTGCAGCGATCCAGCAAGTTGGCTTACAGATGATAAACCATTGCTGCATATGAATATGGTCCCAGGAGCACTGGTAAGCTGTTAAATAACTCTTCGTTTTGCTGAAAAAATCGATAATAATAATTTTCTTTACGAGCTTTTCACACAGCCATGCAACTGGAAGTTTTTCACCTTCTTTATAGTCTAGGTCACAACATTTTGAGATAACTCGGAAAAAAAACTTCAAAAAAGTTGACCTATTATTGTGGTGTCTTTCCCGTTCAACCAGCCAAGAATGTTGTAAATCGGACTGAAGAGAAAATTATAAAATGCTCATCTTAAAATTGCCGTCTGTTATAACAGGATCTACATGTTTGCGCCTTAAGAACTTCCCTATTATTTCCAAGTTCCAGTTTCCGAAGAAATTTTCAAAATTATCATAAAAGATAATTCTACGAGATTTCCTATTTCATTTGACGTTGTATGTTTCTAGGACGACGTAATTTTTCACGACATGGGTGCGTTCCAAATATCCATCGATGATCAGGTTACTGTAAACAGTTTGCGCGTATCCAAGGATTGGGTGAGTCAGCCGTGCAAACAGAATTTTTTTTTATTTCATCGTGTTTCCTACATTTTTTATGGGTGAATATCAATATGAATAGAAACTGACATGATTCAATTCAAAGGCGATCATAGATGTACCCGAATTAGTGAACGGCGGAGAGTGATGTCATGCCAAAAGCTCGAGAAACTTGGTTACAGAGGGTAAAAACAAAAATACCTGATGTTCGTGGTGATAAACATGCACAAAAAATAGAACAAAAACTCAATCACAGAAGCATATTAGCATATTATAATGAATACAGCTATGTACACGAGATACGTAATCGATTGTACTGCTTTTGTATTAGGGGATTCCACTCAATGTGTCTCCCATTGCCCAAGTGCCCATTTTCATTTCGCGGATAATGAATGATATGAAAAAATTCCATGCGTCCAGAGCAGCTTGGCGTTCCTGCAATTTTTCAAAGTTGAAATTTGAATTTTTCGAATAGTCGTGTCTTTATGAATGTTCACATGAGCTTATGGATTGAGACGATGGAATATTTGCGAAATCCGCAGATACGGGTCGAAAAGTTACCAACTGTAGATAAAAAGAAATTACATACGGCTTTGAGAAATATCATGATTCAAATTGTTTTAAGCCCCGCCCACCGAAAACGAGCCGCGTGTTTTGAAAGTATGCAGTAAGAAACATTTAGGTTGGCTAAAAAAACTTTCTAACAGTTTATAAAAATGTCACACATGAAGCAGTATATAAATGTATGGTGCCTTTGAAAAAGTAAACCAAAGAGAATCGGATGGTTAACTCTGTTTGCTCATACTATTCTTTTGATGATGAAATGGTGGAGAAAAGCAGAGAAGCCAGATTTTTTCGTCAAATCTCTAAATCATGCTCAAAAAACTAGCCGAAATTGGTGTAAAGGCTCGAATGGCACGCATACATACAATTTTGATATTTTTAATTATTTTCATTAATAAGGAACGTTAATTAATGACTAGATGAGTAGAGGTCTGAGGCTATCCACTTACAAAAAATCACAGCAAAATAATAGTTAGTTGAGTTGTTTCAGAGGTTCAAAATCGCATGTCAAAACGAGATTATTTACTCAACCTAATATTTTTACAAGTGATCAAAATATTTTCATTAACTTAAAAAAATCAAGTTTGGTTCCACTGTGAAAATAATTTTCCCTTTATTGCAAAAAGAAAGCTTCACAATTTTCATGACATGCGGCTGCGCACTTTTTACCGAGAAAAATTTCCGTTGCACCTTGCTCTTAAATAAGAATTTTTGTGGACTATCCCTGATTTTTGAGTCTCTGAAAGAGCAAGTCGACAAATTTACAATTCGGCATGAAAATGAACTGATTTTTGTTTTGATTTGAATCACAGAAAAAACTCCAAAATTTACAGAAGCTTTGAAATGTGTGAGGCTGTAGTCTCTTTGCGATGGCTAGTTTTTTCCTCCTGGATTCTTTAACTTTCTTTTGAGATGAACAGCCACTCAAATCGTGATACTCGTCAAAATTCCATCTTTGAACAAAAATCTCAATAATCGGCAGAGTAAAGAGATAGAATATTTTTATGAAGCTGCTCAATTTTGCGTGGATGTTATTCATTCCCAATTCATTCTCTCTGTCGTTTCTCTTAGTCAGCAATGAATTTCGTTCCTCTCACCATGACCTCTCATTTCTTACCTCAACACTTTTGAAGTCGCACTCTGAGATGATTGTCAGAATGCTTGACTTGAACTCTCGCCAAACAGCTGATGGGAATGGGATCCCATGTTGGAAATGTATTGCTCCCACTCGCCGTATTCGCAAAATAATGTACTGAAAAGAATAATATGACAACTGAAAATTTTGACAAAAGGGGCTGGTAAATCCAACCTCGTCTGGTTTTCCTTCCTGCATCATTTTCAATAGCTCGCCTATGAAGGAAGAGATTCGTTCAGCTACTTCTGTGTATCTAAACATTGCGTATTATTTTCTCTTGCTCCTTATTCTCTGTATCATAAAGTTTATTTACTTCGAGTCCGCATATTCCTTACTTCCATCTTTTACCAGCAGCCTTTCATAGAGTCCGTTATTACCCCGATTTTAATTGAATACTCCCATCTAACTCAAACTTTTGGTGAAACACTTTTCCGGACTTTTACAAGAGCGAAAGGTGAAGGTTGTAGTCACAGTATTTACTTTCTTTTTGTGCTTGAGTGTTTCGGACATTCCACTTATGCTGCACGACAGTTTATATGTGCTCTTTTTGCAGCTTATCGTAATTTAAAAGGCTTTGTGTGAACCGTTGACGTAAAGACAACTTAGATGACGTCAATTACGATATTCAAAGGTGTGGTTTAGAAATTCATGAAGCATTGTGATGTAATGTAGAATAGGACAAAGAATCATGATTCAGATAATTTTCTTTAATTGTAAATTCACGATTTTGTTCATCCAGAATGCTCGTATTCTATGTTTCTTGGAGAGAAAAAAGTTATGCTACATTAGAAGACATGCGCTCAGAGGAATGAAATACACAAAAATAAAATTTAAACCAACTTTGTATTGCTTGGAAGATTGAATGCTGTTGTGTTTCCATGTGCGAGCAAGGCAAACATCTCTGCTTCAAGCTGCAAAATCTCATATATTCTGAAAATTTCTTGAAGAAAATTGCTATAGCCGCTTACCTTTTCATTAGCATAGAGCATAAGATTTGGTGCTCGGAACACAGCTAGAAGAGTTGGTTGCCGCCGTAAAATCGAATGCAATATCCGTACACCAACTTCTCCGTTGTTATTTATCATTGCTTGACGCCAAGTTGAGCTGAGGATGCTCAGGCGGTCGCCGAGAATCTGCCTAAAAAATCATATTTAGGAATTTATTTGCTTGTGCGTATTAATTCTGTAGGTGCGCAAAATCTAGGTGCATTTTGAAAAAAAATAAATTTTGTATACTGAATTTAGACTTAAAGTAGTTTGTCATACTCATTTACAGCAGAAATGTTTTTCGGTTGATTTTTGTCCTATTCAAAATGAAAATAATGGGAGCAAGACTGCCAGTGCTCAGTTCTGCTAACTCGTACTTACTATTATCTCTCAGGCTCTTAACTTAACCCTATTACCCTATAATCGTTTTTCTGAATTTTGTTGATTTTTATTTTCATAACAGCAGCCCTATGAAGATTTGTATTTGCACCACCGTTGCCATTTGCGTCATAGAAGTCTTTCTTGGGTCTTAAAAGGCTCGATTATCTACTTGCAAAGCATTAAAGCCCTTGCAGGTGAAATAACCGTGAGAAAGATCTTTAAATATCCCTTGAAAGGTGAACTTCTGCAGCAAGTTTGAGAGATCCTTCTAGCAAAAAGAGCACTTACGCTGCGTCACAAACGGTTTTCTTCCGCCGCATCGTCTTCCTTTCAACTAGCCGGTTATTGAGCCACGAAGTTGCCTTTAGAAAGATGAGGCTATTTGTGGCTGAGTTTAGAATAACGAGGAAGTTAGAGGTGTCCACTAGATAGTAGTTGTAGCTCCCAACTCCTACTGTCACTTCGACTAGATCGAGCTAGAAGAACTAGATTTTACAAAGGTTCGTCCAAAAGTTTGACTTATACCTACCACGAAAGTCAGACTCCTGAAGAGGAGAAACTTTGAGACTAACATGATTGAGATGAGCGTTTGAAGAATCTCTCTGAACAATATTTTTGCTTTTTCAAGTGCTTTTTTTGAATTTATTATGGCTCTTACCTAGAGGCATTGCGATCCAGAACGTTTTCATTCAAGTGAAATAATTGTCTCCTTGTGCGATTCGAACCCCGTAGCATAAATACAGTGAGCAGAGTAAGAACTGTAAATGAATGAAGTCTGACCGTTTCCAAGATTTTTGGGAGTTGCTTACTCAAAATGCACAGATTCGGTCCTATAGACACGGCAATCATTCGTGAGATCATACGATATAAGGCGTAGGCTTTTTTCCCTCGCAAAGCCGTGAGTCGAACCTGAACAGCAGAAATTATACAAAAAACTAGTAGGCAGTAGCTTACCGAGATTGCTATTCGATTCTGCTCCTCATCATAACACAGATAATTATAAAGCTCAAAAAATGCAGGAATGTTTAAGAGCACAGCTCCAATAGAAAGAGCAATAGGCATTCGAAGTAGGCGACGATATGTTGAGCAGTACATAAATGAGATCCTCCGTTCGCTTCGGAAGGACTGCACTATAGGGGCAGGTCTGAAAAATTTTACTAGAATATAAGGTGATAGAGTTTGTACTAGGAACGAATGAAATTTATCACTACAGAGTTAGCTACTGCAGAGATGCATGATCAAGAAAGCTAAAAAAAATAAGTAATAATCGTAAGTTTTACCCCAGTGAAACAACTATAGCTTACTGTCACTTATTTTTGTATTATTAGCTGTCAATATTAACTTTACTACCTACTACTTACTATTGCTACTTACAACTTTTTATTTACTTACTATTGTTTACTTATTGTCGTAATGATACTTTTTTTTGCAAGCTTGTCAAGTCGTAATTCACTTAGGTAGGCTTTTATCGGTTATTTTTTGTGCAAATGAATCTTGTTGAAAATCTGTGCGAAGTAATTTTTTGGCCTATCTCCAAACTAATTATTTGATGGAGGCTCTAGGTTTTGACGTTCGTGAAATCATCAAATTCATAAAACTTCAAAAATTCTTTTTGATTCTGTGCCTTCTTCACCAGCTAATTTTGTCCGATACTGAGCTTTCATTCTTCAAGAGGAGATACGTAGTGGAAGATAAATCAAATCCCACAAAATTTTACGACGTTGTGTGGACAATCTCATTATTCAATGTAATTAATGGAGTGCAAGTTGAAGATAAGAATGCTTTAGTAACTCCGACTGCTGTCATGCAGCAGTTGCGAATGTATGATAAATGGCACAGAATTCTGATACTTTAGTGCAACACTTCTTTCGTAGACTAGTAGGAAGTAACATCAGTCCCTTGCAGCTTCTATCAAACATTTTTGAAACTGAATCTTTTATTCAAGTGACCAAACGCTTTAAATGATTAATCATCCTGATGACATCTGTCAATAAATGCACTTAACCCTCTCAAGTCTATAAATCTGAAACTTGAGTAACTGACAGACCTTGGAGTTCGAAACGGGTCCCTTGTGGCCATGAATCGTTGCCATGTTATCGCCACAACACACCATGTCTGAATATTGAAAATTTTCTAAGTTTCCGTTCAAGCATTATGAATAAGCAATGAATATCAAAAATGGATAAAGCGTATAAAAATTGCTAAAATATTTGAAAAGTAATTTTTGGATTAGTTGAAATTCCAGGATAGACAATACAAATAGTGAACCCCCAGAACCAAATTTAAGACCAAATTATACTGCCTTCAGTTTTGAATTGTGATTTGTGAATTTCCGTATTCTTCCCGCATTCCAGGGAAAAAATAAACTAGTGTAGTTCAAACCGCAACGGTGTATTTTGCAAAAAACCATCAAAAAGTTTCCAAACACTTTTTGAATCAACAGAGTAATATTCCATTCACATCTGCTGTTGAAAAGTCAAAAAATTTGTTAGATGTTATTTCACACTAGAAATTTCACCTTCCTACTCAAAACATTCTGCTTTAGATTTAACTTACTCAAATAATATAATTAAAGAAGCTAAGAATTCTTAGACAGACCCGCGTCTACCTCACCGAAAACCTACCAAGGTTAAGTAAAACGATGGCTTACCGCTGCAGTATTGGCAATATTAGAGAACGGATGAAACCATGGCATGAGGATATTTAACCAGTCAGTGCTGACGGCTAATGGTAGCTTTCGAATAGCATAGTAGAAGAAGGCACACCATAGAAGGATCGTGTCCCAAATGGCTAATGCTATTAGTGATACGGCTAACACTATCCCTCGCCGCTGAAAAACAGAAATTTACTTGAAATATGAGAAAGAAACGATATAGAAATCTTTGAAAGATCCCTTTCAAAGCTACCGAAGGGAACGAAAAAAAAAATGGAGCATTAAGATTTGCGTGCTCACCTTGTCGAGATTAGTCACCTGAACCCGTCTTACTCCGTGCACATTTCCAATTGTGCCAAGAATCACCAGGGCAGTTGTCATGTAACCATTGACCATCATAGCGAACAACCTGTAATTTACACCTTATCGTAGCCTGGAATAGGCCTGTGATTTTTAGAAGAAACTAAGAATTTAGCAGGCATACATTACATCCTTTTAAAATGGTTTGAATTTCATTCCATCCTTAAAATGATGTCAGGTTCAAAAATGTAGGCACTTCGTGGCATTCCCATCACCATTTTTATTCATGTAAATATGGAGAAGAAGAAGTTGAGACCTTTTACTTGTTACCCATGATTTTGCCTATTACGGTAGTCATAATTTTAGCTCGAGAAAAATTATTGTTTTCATTGGTGAAAGTTCATTATCAAATAAACTTATATGTGGGAGAAAGTTACGGTAAATCTGGCATGAAATCAATGTGCGCATGTACCGTTGGGCTTCAGTTACCTTTGCTTATTCTTCTCAAAAAATAAATGTTTCTCAAAATTTAAATGCTTAACAGGAAGAATTTCCGAGGTATGCCCGCCAATGGGATTTACTGTTCGGTAAATAGTACTACGATTAATTTTTTTATGAGTTCCTTTAGTTGCTTGAACAACTTTCCTCTCAAAATCCGGCAAGATCAACCCTCGGGCCAGTTGAGCTGCCCAAAAAACAAGTTTACGACCAATCAAGCGACCTTTATACTGCGTTCACTCATGGTAATTCGCAGAGTGCGAGATAATCACATTTGCAAGTGGGTAGGTTTGGTTATTCCGCAATCCAAAAGCTTAACACTGGAGAAAAATGCGGAAAGAAATGCAAGATTCTCGCTGAGAAGTAAGTACTTTTTTGAAGTAACAGAGAACACTTAATGTGCTAAAACAGCCACTGAGAATCAGCGACTATATTAATCAATCCGAGTTTTGCCATCTGCCATTAGTTGATCCGTAATTTTCACGGCAAAGACTGTGAACAACATTTTGAGAATGTTTGGAAACTACATATATCTTTTTTTGCTGTGTTACGGGGCATAGTCAAGGTGATATTTTTTTTGAGATAAAACAAAAAGGTGGACAGTAAAAACCAAAAATCACTATTTGTAGAAACATCCGCTCGGAACAGTAATTGCAAATTTGAATAGTAGGCCGCAGCATCAAATAAGGAATGCAATCATATCTCATTGGAAATTTTAGCGAAAGCAATCTGAAAAAAATATTTTCGTGCTCCTACTCATCTCTTTTCTCGCAGCGCTGAGTGAAAACAATAATTTCTGCCATAAGCACGGCTAAAAAGTTCACATCTCCTCTCCTCTCACCTACTGGATATCTTGCAGGATTTTTTCAGTGCGATAGTTACTCAGTTACGTTATATTAAAGCGTTTAGAGTGACATACTCTCGACTCACGTAGCAAAAAATAGTCCAAACATATATACAAGCTTTCTATGCCAATCGAAGAAACTTGGTTTCTCCCTCCCCCCTCGCCTCGATTCATTAGACTTTTTTTATCGTTAAGCATTCTATTGTTTTGTGAGATGTCTCCGTATGAGAAAAAGATAATATGCTTATCTATTATTGAATCTGATCTGTTGATTTTATGACTTATCAATATCTAAGTGTGTAGTTCTGAAAAGAGAGCTTTGAATTTGGGCATCTTCTTCATTTCCATTAGTGATCACTGACTAGGTGGAGCTCCGGTTGGCAAGCTCTTACTTACTTCGCAATGATTTCAGTCAAGCATAATACCATTTCAAGAAACTACTTTGGACACTGATTTGTTGCAAAATAGTTTTCAAGCAAGAAGGTACCATATAATCAGAAAAACTTTCGAAATGGCAACTTTCATACTTAGCATTCCCCTTATAATTTCGCAGAATTGACTTGCAAGTGACACATAGCCCAGCTTTTATGAAAGTAATATCAACGCATTGCAGTAGGATTTTTTTTGAAAAAAAAACTGTGCTGTTTAACCTGCTATACCTCATTTTCAAAAAAAAAATTATTACGCGTCTATCCGTGACTAAAGCTTCAATGATACCAGGAAACTCCATGCCTACCTATAGGTTTCCGTCTCAGTAGGAGGTTGATAGCAGTGCTCAATGGTCTCGTTCAAAATCATCGTGTCCATTGCTGATCAGTATTGTACCATCATTTTGGTTGCATATGTCTGAAAGAGAAGTTTTGCGAGCTGAGTATAGTTTGTGGAAGATAGGAGGTAGGTACAACGAGAAGTTTGAGTGGATGTGAACGACTAGATTTACCCAAGTTTCAAAGCAATGATATGGATCAGAGGTAAGAAACTAGCAAATGTGGAAATTACATAAAGTGTGCATTGAAAAATGGGACGAACGAGTTCCAGTGATAAATGGAACAAGACGAGATAGCGATGATTTACGAACCTATTCGGAAGAAACTGTTGACAGAGACGAATTGAAATTGAGCGCCCACAAAAGTTTTTCTTCTTAATTTTACCATAATCTGCATAAAGTGCAAAAGACGAGGCGGAGATTCGTATGAACAATATCATGAGAGTTCGTTTGCCTCAAGCAAATTGCTAATCTGAGAAAGCCCACTCAAGCGAATGAGCTTCAAAGCTGGGAAAAAACCCGTAAAGGTATCCAACCTCAAGCAGGAAAAAAGTACGGTGATTCTAGGGCTTCATCAGACCGAAGCCCAATTTACGCATAATCAAATTGTATAAAAAGAAGAAAGTTACGCGCAGAAAAAAAAAACAGGGAAACTTGTTCATTGAACAAAGGAAGCAAGCGATAAGAGATGAGAGGGATCTCAATCGAAATGAGTGAGTTGATGGATTGTCTAAACAACAATGTCTTCACTCAAGAATGATTGGCAAAGCAATAGAGCCTATGACACTGAGCAGACAGTTCACGTGCCTCACTGTGCACTTTGAGATCAGTGCTGCCGCAGTAAAGCAGTGGAATATGTTAATGAACTATCAAACCTAGCTGACGTTAAAACGACAGAATGACCCACAAATCGAGGGAATTTCCGGCAAGACCGTTTCGGTATATAACTGCGAAAAGTTCAAAGAACTGAGACTGATTGTGGGAAGGGACTGCGAAGATTCAGTAGCATCTGGAAATGGAACATATGGAAGCCCTGTGGAACAGAAAGACGGCATGGGAAGAATGAGGCTCTGAGGAAGTGGAAAAGAATGAGATGCAATGATTGGCGATTTTAGCAGGTGAAAGGAAGATATGGTAGGAAAGCAAAACATGGGAAAAAGGGGATGATGAAAAGACACCCTCGAGGAACACGAAGGAAGGGAATAGAAGATAATTTGAGGAATGAGAAGGGGAAGGGACGGCAGGATTGAGGTTCTGAGGAAGTACAAAAGGATGGAATGGGAAGATCTGGGCTCTAACGAAGGAGAGTTGAAAATGAAAAGAGAAATATGGAAAGTCTGACCACGATGGAAGGGAAGGATGGGAGGAATGAGGCTCTAAAGGAAAAGGGATAGGCTGGAAAGTGAGGCTTAGGGAAGTGGAAGAGGATGGGATGGAAAGTTTGAGGCTCTGAGAAACGGGATGGGAATTGAGAAGGTCAAAGCTTTGAGGAAAAGAGAAAATTAATGAGGTGGGGAATACGGGAAATGAAAAAGAAATATGGGAAAATTGAGTTTTCAAGAAACGGGTAGGGGAGTAGGTTGGAAAGATGCAATATATACACCTAGGAGTGATTGTCGCTTTTTGTACAGAATTTTGAGCAGTTTTTTATGAACAGGCTTTAAGCGTTTAGAACAAAGGAATCTTATACAGCATACGGAAAAAAGGGAGCAAGTATTCCCTAGAATGAGCACTCTAGATTACCAGCCATTTTTAGCGCTTGAGGTTTCAAAGAGAAAAACAAAGATATTATTACTACAGGGATACATACAGAAGTGGTGAGATTATAAACCGCTTGAAAGATTGTGAAGAATGTTTTGTGAATTCAGCTCAATGACATCATAATACCTAGTAGCTGTCAGCTCAACTCTTCACTCGGAAGATGTGAAAGACATGAACAGTTGGCAAAGAATAGAGTAAAATCATTGTTTCCCAAAAACCTGACGTCATGGCATGTCCTTTAGCCGATAATTATACACCGTGAGGAGATGGCATGACCAGACATATTCATTTCAATCACTTTTTAAAAAAATGACTGTGAAGCAAAATTGGCACTTGCAATCTGTGCCGGAACACTAACACGATCACGGGTTTATTTTCTTTGAACGCTCTGCATTTTTTGAGTTTTGAGAAAACTGAGGAAGAAACTGAGTACACGCCGAAAGAAAAAATTCAGAAATATTTTTCTCACCAAAAAACCTCCATGATTAGAAACTTATTTTGGATGTTCTGTTACTAAATTTTACTTGCTTTCGCCTTACTTTGTTTGGTTTTCAAGACTCTTAGCTTCGTCAACGATGGCTTAAATGTTTTTTGTCGTAGAATTTTTAGATTCAAAAGCATAGAATAGAGCAAAGCGAGGGGTACGAGCCCGAATGAGACCAAAGGCTGTTTTCAGTATGGACGCTTTTTCGTTCATATCAATTTTACAACATTGGGTTATACATCTTCTTCAATGGGGAAATGGGACGTAAGCGTATTGTATATTCCGTAAATCTTCTCAGTCTAGTCTTGAATGGGATGAGTATACGGGAGTCAAACGATTCTACGTCTGGCAAAGGCAATAAACATTTCTCGGTGAGTTCTTGAGATAAGCTAGTTCAAAGATAAGGAAGGGGGTAGGCTCATAACAAAAGAGAAGCTTCAGAAAAGGTTATGAGTACGTTTAGGCGAAGAGTGAGAAGAGAGAGAGAGCCTAAATGCGAGCAAATGCTGATTTCGTAAATATCATTTCGTATATTATGGGCGTCCAAAAACTTTGAAATTTCAATGGATAGAAAAAACAAATTGAAATTTTGAAGGTTTATCAAGAAATCCACATTTTTGTTGGATTACATTTCTGCAATCCAACAAGAATGAAGAGAGATGAGAGATGAAACTGACGGGGAAAGAATCGAGCCAGTCCGGTTTTACTCGGCCTCATCGTAAAGTCCGAGATTTGGATGAGCAATAAAAGTTCCTGATTCCTCCAAAAATGAGAGATTAAAAAACTCAAGAGAGGATGGACCTCTGACATGCCATAAATCTGAGCAACTCGTAAAATTGCGGATGAGCAATACAAGTTTACGACTCCTACGAGATAAAATAAAAACTTACGAGGGAGAGGACCCTCAGCAGGCCACAAAACAAGTGATTACCGACGTGCTCCACAAGATCTGAGCTAAGCCACTCATCGTAGCCCCTGCAGCTGAGGATTGCAGCCAGTAAGTGGCTCCTGCGGAGATTTATCCGAAAAGCATGTCAGTGCAGTGGAGCAGTCTTTGCTTTCTTTGCAGAAGAACAAGACAACATGAGAAAAAATAAAGGATTGAAGGGAGAGAAGACGGGAAGAGAAAAGTTGGGTCGTGAAAAATGAACTCGTCAAGCTTTCGGAAACAGGAACGATGCATTTGGAGTAATAATATATTGTAATAATATATGCTATATAATATATGCTTTCAAAGAGATAGGATGACATTCATACATTTTCTATCATTAGGGCATCAATATTTCTGTAATCAGTGTGAAATGGAGAACATGAAAGTGTGACGTAAGAAGTGGCGATTACGTTAGTCACTGAATCACCACCTTAAAAATAAAAATAGGGGTGTATATCAAATGACGTATTTCTCAGCTATATTATTGCCAGATCGACACGAAATACCATGAATTTATTGTCCTATACGCCCCAAGGGACAGAGAAAAGATCAAGGAAGTATTGTAGGAATGTGTATTGATAATTATATACGAGTTCGAAGTAAGCTATGAAGCCGCACAATATCGAATGCTTCTAGATTTTGAAGAATTTTGCATGAAAAATTGTCTGAATTCATCGAAGCTTGACAACGAATGACTCTGACCTTTTTGCCTGGCTTGAGTGTACTAAAAATAAAATTGATAGCAGTAACACTAATAATAGTAATGAAAACTCATAAGACTCTAATAGAATTTTTTAACAGATGAAAATTGTTTCAGTTGTTTCACTAAAGCGCACCATTCTTAGAACAGCCCTTTCTGCAAGCCAAATTTTGAGTAATAAATCATGTCACTGTCAACTCCATCATTACATTGTTAGTGGGATGTTTGACGATACTTGTCAACTTCTAAGAAGTGCTGAATTTTTGAAGTAGAGGGTGAGAGCTGTAACCATAAGACGACTCAGTTTCGCTAGTCATTTGTTTTTATGAACGTAATAATCGAGCAAACTGTGCTGGCATTTTTTCCGAACATGAAGCAAAAAAAGAAAATCGCTCTTCAACATTTCTTATGAACAATAGTCCACGAATCGTAGCCTGTTTTATCCACCGTAGCCTATTTAGAGGGGAGAATTTCAGCCCACTCATTCCATTCAGAAAGATTCTTTTGACGAACATATCAACAGGCATATCATCTATTTTATGACTAGGAGACGCGAGACCGCATTGCGGATATTGTCTTAACAAGTTTGAGTTTGTTCTTCCCTGTTTCAAAAGGTGAATAAACCTGGACAAGATAATTAACAAGTATAAACCTGCTGTGTACACGATTAAGCTTGTTTAGACAAGTGCAATGCGGTCTCGCGTCTCCTAGTCGTAGAAATGATATAAATTCCGTACCAAAAAGGGACTTTCGCTTGAAGCAAGATGTCCACACTTTGGTATTCTTCCAAACTCCTTGATAGGACTCTGTCTCTAATGAAAAATTCATCTGCTTATGCATAGTGCTGTCAAACTCGACTAATAATTCAACTTCACTCTCATATTCATAAGAAAATACAAGTTTTCTCACTTCTCGTTACTTCCGTTTCTCTTTGTAAAGCTTGAGGAAATATGGAAACAGAAAATGTCCACATTGACCTATGGCGAGGAATATGGCTGGTGCGTCAAAGAAAAACCCAGAGCTGGGATTTTCTGTTTGTGTGAGTGCAATTTGTAACAACGCGGATAATCGCGTGATTCTAGTCTTGATTGGTCTCAGAAGCTGTTGACGGATGGCACATTACGCACTACATTAATCGCATTTCGACTTGGTTTTGACTCATGCTTCCTGATATTCCCACGCTGAAACTTCACAACGTACGATTTG